ATACTGTCCTCTTCATAACATTCCTAAAACCTATGCATATTTTATATTGCATAGCACAGGGAAATTAATATTGTTAATCTGTTGACCTTAAAATGAGATGTTCCTAGATTACTCAAGTGAGCCCAATGTGATAATGAGTATCCATAAATATTGAAGATGAAGGCAGACTAATTAGAGTTAAGACAGTGTGTCAGAGTAATACCATGTGAGAAAGATTCAGCCAACCTTTGCTGGCTAAGGACATAGACTAAGACCAAAGGCCAAGGAATGCAGACAACTATCAAAAGAGCTGGAATAGGAAGGAAAATGGACTTAGCTACATTCTAGAAGGTCCACAGCTCAGTCAGCACTTTGATTGGAGCATACTGGGATCCATTTCAAAGCTCTGACTCAGATTGTCAGAAAATAATTTTGGGTTGTTTTAAACCACCAAAATTTGTGGTGATTTATTACACTAGCAATAAGAAACTAACACAGTAAATGATATAAATGAAGTGCTAGGAGATTCAGTTGTGTAGGCCCAAATCTAAATCTCTCACTACTTATCTCTTTTATTTGGCGATAGTTAGAATTCCTGAACATGAGCTTGTTGTCTGTAAATGTGGGTTATTCACACTAATATTTGTATTGTGAGTTTTAATTAGAGCATAAATACATACAGCACATATCAAAGTTCCTAAGCATATAGTAAGTGCTGAAAAATACCAACTACTCTCATCATCATGATATTGTCCTTAAAGATATGCTATCCAGATCATTTAAGGATGAGAAAACTGAAGTTCTTGAACTGAAGTTCAACAATACCAAGCAATATCACCTAGCTAACAGGTAAAACTTCAATCTGATTTAATTTACAGACTGCAATATAATTTCAAAGAACTCCAGAGGGATTCCATATTTCTGGAATGTCTGCTGAAATGAATGCTAGAATTCCTCACCTCCTTTCTGTTACTTTAGAGTTGTACGAGTACTCTAACTTGTTCAAGAATGTAAATGCTGATGTGTGTTTTGGTGACCAAGATAGAGGCAAGATGGTGATGGTAATCAATGGGCAGCAGTCAAGCAAAGTGTAGAACTTGAAATAGGCATGATCTCTAGTTTTAGCATCATAGGAATTTCGGAGCTTAAAGTAGGGGTTAAAATTCTAAGCCTTTTGGGCCAAATCTGGACACATTTACTTGATAAATGGAAGCAATAATTTTCAACTTTTGGCTTAAAAGCCACTTTCAGAGTCTCTTTTTAAAAGCATGACTGAAATAGGTAAGTGTCTGGCTTATGGAAATACAGCTAGATTATGGAAGCCATGATTTTTGATCAAGTGGAAAAAATATTATTTCATATTGAGTCAGATGGGCCCAAATTACACAAGACTTTGTTTGATGTGGTTTTTGTTTGTTTGTTTTCTAGTGCCGGGTTTTGAACTCAGGACCTCATGCTTGCCAGGCAGGTGCTATGCTGCTGAGCTACATCTCTGGTCCTGATGTGTTTTTAAATGTTACAAAAGGCTGAATAATTGATGGTAGTTTATCAGTGCAACAACCCATCAAGATAGACAACAGGGTAAATACACATGAAGTAGGAAGCCAGCTGGGACATAGTTCTGTTAAGATATGTAATGTACTCACTATCAAGGCAGTGTGTTATGAACAAGTTGCAGTGTATAAAGATTACATCCAGCTGAAGTCTGAACTTGGAAAATTCCTTAGGATGGTTACAACTGGATGACATTCTTAGGGTGCCAAATACTGAACTTTATTAATTCTTAAGCCTTTTTTTCACACTTAATGTCCCAGAAAGTATATTGAATATTGTATCAGACAGCTTCTTCCATAATGGTTACTCAAGAACCAGTTGTGATTCACTTGTTTTTGCAGGTGTATGCATAAACTTGGTCAGAGACCTCCAGTACTTTTATTAAATTATGGCTACTGCTGGCTCTATACTTACTACATTTAATTGCCATTTAAAATATCTTTAAGAAAATTACTGTGTGATTTAGCGTAAGGTTATCAGTTGTGGGAATAGGAGTGAACGGAGAACAAATTTTAAATTTTTATTGGTGAGGGAAATATAGGTTATTAGAACAAGGATTACAATTCCATGTTTTCTTGCAAATAATCCAAATAACTTACTATTCCTAAAACATTGGATAGCTTCAAATAATGTTAAACTCAGTTAAGTTTGACCTCAGTCTGTCTTCATGCTTGATTAAATGATTATTTGACGCAAAGTGGGCAGCTATACAGAGTAAATTGTACCCCAACTTGATGTGTTAACTGGATGTAACCTAATTTAGGAGTGTGCTCTTGTAACCAAGTAATTGAATTCCAGCCAATTACAGGTCACCAACTGATTAGGCTATGTACATGTCCTATAAATGCCTCACCACACATGCACCTATAAGGCAAATGCCAAGTGTAGCCAGTCATGTTGTTTTTAACATCACTTCCATTTTTCTGACAATAACAGAACCTACACAGGTGATAGAGTGAGGCATTCTAACCCAGTCATTCTAACCCAGTTGTGGATCAGAATGCTGCTTGATTCTAAAAAATTTTTCTTGCTCAAATAAATTTTGTTAAATTAACTCATCCCAGTTTTATACAATCAAGCAAAAGTGTGGTTTATTTCAGTTTAAGTTTGAAAAAGGCACCAAGTCCCTCAGAAAATAAGAAAAATGTATAAGAACGAGAGCAATTTTTGAGTTGTCTTATTAAGGCATCAAACATTGATTCATCAAAAACTTGCTGTTTCAGTAATTTTCGAAAGATTTTTGATTTATCAGGTACTTAAAAACTAAAATTCTGGGGGCAGGGAATTTAGCTCAGCGGCATAAGTGCCTGCCTTGCAAGCAGGCAGTTGTGAGTTTGATCCCCGGTACCGATAAAAAGGAAAAAGACCAAAAAAAAAAAAACTAAAATTCTGTGTTGAGTCAAGATAATAGTGATAAATCTTGATGTCTTCGACAATTATCAAAATTTTACTGTGGTATAAACAAGTGGCATGGTACTGTAATAAGCATGCTGCTATATTAATTGTCAAACTTTAAAAGGATATGGGAATAGAATTTTCTCCTATCATGTTATGCATACAAAAAAAGTGGGGCACACAGTCTTTGACTGATAGTCTCAAAAGTTGCCATTAATAGGCAAATGCAGGTTAGTTTTCTGTAAGCTTCTGGTCAAAACTTTTCATTAGTTAGTCAATACCTTGTTTTATATACATTTCTCTTTAAAGACATGATATATATCATTGATTAACTAATATTCTGCTACAGCTAACAGCATTCATAGCTAAAAGCCTCAATAAAGTTTATCCAGATACACTTATTTTCTCTATAAAGTACAGTGTAGTCTTCTTGTACTTATGAACAGGAGGTATCACTTGACCACTATGCTTGGAGACCACTTAAAAACAGTGAAATTGGTAAAAGGCTCAAAAATGAGAGGAATGTAGTTAAATAGATAGCAAAGGGACACTTTTTGTAAAAGCTGAAACAAGAAGACAGAACATTGCCTTTCAACCACAGCTGGGAATTTAAATTTTTTTTCTTTTGCTACTCTGTGCCATGTATGTAAATAGCTGCGAAAGCTCTGCAAGAGTTGATGTAGGAGTTTCAAATAAATGTTAGTAGTAGGAAAACTGGAAATGCAGAAAGAATCAAGGAATAATTAGGAATCTACCAGGCCAGATCATTGTTCTGTACTAGAAAAAAACTCCAAAGTTATGTGGCAAAATCTGTGGATAGAATTTCAAAATTAAGTCTAATGTCACCAAATCTTGGGCCCTATCTCAGCCTTACTGAATCAGAATCTGCACTTCAGGTTTTCTCAGGTGTTTATGTGCACATTCAAGTCTGAGAAATACTGCCCTTCACAGCATCGTAGGTATATCCCTGCTAGATGGAGGAAGTTAAACGATCCTGTCATGGATTGAAAACTGGTGGTCAGTGTAACACCAGCTGACCTGAATCAGCATGATGCTGAGTGGTGGGCCCACACAAGGATTTTTACCAACATAAAAGAGAACTGGAGAAGAAGTTGTTGGTTCTCCATGATGTCGTTGATTCTCCTGTTGTCATTGGTTCTCCTCCTGGAGGAGTTGTCAAGCTTCTTTCCTGATAAGAACATGGCTATTCTTATCATTGGAGGAGCTTGGTACCTCGTGCTTGATGAGGATGGCTGTGGTATTTTTCAAGAGAGCCCTGGTTCTTACTTCAAGCATCTCTTCCTGGTTTCCTGCTGTTTTTAGACTGAATCTCAGATGTCTCTTGGGGTTGCTGCTGCTTATCCCTCTAACATCTCTTTTATTTGATGTCCTTTATTCTACCAGTATATGTAGCTACAACGGAATCACCCCTCTATGGAGAATCCTAGTCTCTGACTACCATCTATTGTCTCTTAAAGGTGTAGTCCAGAAATGCACATTCACCAGAAAGCTCTCTTGATACTCTCTTCCCCTTCAGCTGTGCTTCTCTACCTGTGGATCTAACATACCTCATGGTACCACTACCACATACATACCACAATTTATTGTGATTCTTACCCTCGCATCCATCTTCTCTATTCTATAGTGAAACTCAGTTTTGTGTCCCAACACAACACAATGTCAGTAACCTACATTTTTTTTTGACCAGTAGATTATTAACAGAAATAGAGACATCCTATTTTGAGATAACAGATAAGGCCAACGCATCACTTCCGCGCACTTATAAAGAGGTAACAGGAGCATTACTCTAAGCGTCCTCCTCTGGTTTACGTGCCTTCTGCAGGTTTAGGAACCTCACTGAATAGAACTCAGATCGGCACGCCACCTAACGTCGCTGGCAAACACTGCAAGAACAGGAGGTCGGTGAAGACCACGCGGTCCCAGGCAAGCATGTGGCGCATGCGTAGAATGCGAGCGCTGGGGTTGGCTAGGAAGAGTCCAAGTTTGAGGGAGAGTGCTCTGTGGATTTAGTCTGAAATAGGAACATGGCCCCTATCTCTTCTTCTTTTTAGACGGCATCTTAATTTAAAACATCCAACCTGAGGTGTGCCTCTTCAAGGAGAGGTAAAAGAAGCGAGACGGCTGCGGTTCGCTTCGCCCTTCTGCACTCCTCCCGCCGGGCGGCGGGTTGGACGGACCCAGATCGAGGCGCGCGGGGGCGGAAGCGGCGGCGGCTGTCAGAGCTGGAGAGGGGCCGTGCGCGGTAGCCATGGAGGGTCAGCGCTGGTTGCCGCTGGAGGCCAACCCTGAGGTGAGCCGGCTCGGGTCCAGCTCTGAGGCCGCAGGAGGGGAGAGGGAGCCGGGATGCTGCCGCTGGTCCGTGTCAGTATCGCCCTAAATGGTGCTTTCTGCTTCGTTTCAGGTTACCAACCAGGTGAGTGAGGCGTCTGTAGCCCTGGACCCCGGAGTCCTTTCTGTGCTCTCCGCCAGCTCCCATGCAGGCCTTCACCTCAGCTTGCCCACGGATTTTGGGATTTAACTCGGGCAGCCCCTCGTGCTGGGCTCCCGGCGGGTCCGCCCCTTAAGGCCGTCGCCTTGCCACCTGGCTCCGGGAGATGCTCGCCGCCTCCTCAGCCCCTCCGATGGTGCCGGTGCGCGGCTCTCCTTTCCCGGGGCCTCCGGGTCTGAGGTTTGAGGGACTCCCACCTTGTCTACCTTTCTGTTCTTCCCCGTCCGCTTTGCCTCCTGTTAGTGCCAGATTGCATTATTTCCTTATCCTTGAACCTTTTGGGTGACTAATTTACCAGCACTTAAGGCTCTAAGCTTTGTAAACTCGCCCACCCAGTCCAGGTAATTTCGTCTACCGCCTGCACTGTGAAATCATCTTCCCGTCCTCTCTTGCTTGAGCAAGTCACCTCTTTCCCTGCCACGCCCCCTTTCGTGTTCTGTCTGGCAAAACTGGACATTTAGTTGCTTTTTACGCCATAGAAAACTCAGCTTCGTAGCTCCCACGCCAGTCTTTACCGCCTGCAACTCCTAAAGTTCGTTTTGAGTAGTGAAGATTGAAATTGGAGAGGCAAGAGAGAACATTTTACAGGCACTTGATTAAAAAAACAATAAGTGCTATGAGGTGTGTATTTTGATTTTCAGATATGGCTAGTCTTGTCTTATCCTGTTTCTTCGTTTTCAACAGGTCTTTTATTTTTTTATTACCCTCCTGCTTTTATCATATATGACACACTTTTCCTCCAGATCTTTCTTCTCATTACTGAGTTGATTTTTGTTTTCAAAGTTTGTAGCAAATTTCCAATGTAAAGAATGTAGATAGACTTTATATTAATGTAAGCAGCAACCCCTTTTGTTTCATGTTTTATTATATGATTTTGAAATGACTGTCATTCCCTTATGTCGTAGTACCATAGAATTGTAGTTATTATTTTAATTGTACGTATGAGTAATCTTCTTTCCCCCTTTGTAAATTTGTTGTCCATTTTTTCCCCAACACATTTTGATCCCTTTGTAAAAAGTTAAAAAAAAAATTTTTTTTTGTCTTTTTCCTTTTTATCGGGGATCAAACTCACGACTGCCTGCTTGCAAAGCGGGTGCTTATGCCGTTGAGCTAAATTCCCAGCCCCAAAGTTAAAAATCTTAAAGTCGAGGAAATCTATATTTGTATTTTCTCGTTTATTGCCATAGAAAAAAAAGCATTCAGACCTAATTAAAAATTATTTTTACACCTTTTGAAAAATCAATTTACCACATATATCTGGGTTCTTCTGTTGTATTCATGTATGTGTCAGTTCTTTTACCAGTACCACACTGTTTTGATTAGTGTAGTTAATACTGTAATCAGTCTTAAAAGTCACATAGAGGGAATCTAATTTTTTTCTTTTTCAGAGTTGTTTAGGCTGTCCTAGTTACTTTGTCAATTAGCTTGTCAATTTGTACAAAAATTATAATTTAAAATTTAATTTGATGGCGAACCTGCCATCAAATTATTTTAATGGTATCTATAGTCACATTTTTAAGAAGAGGACTGTCTTTAACCGTATTGAGTCTTGTAATCCATAAAGGAGGTACACGTGATCATTTAATTAGGTCGTCATAGATTTCTTTCATGAATGTTCCATAGTTTCAGCATGTAACTCATGGACATGTTTTGTTAGATATATATCTGTGTAAAGATTTTTGGTGCCTCTGTAAGTGGTATTGTTTTATACATTCAATTTTGAGTCACCCATTGTTATATATAGAAAATCTAATTGATTTTTAAAAATATGTTGGCTTTGTATCTTTGCATGCTGCTGCCTTGCTAAGTTTAGTTTTTGGTTCTAGTGCTCTGGTAACCTTTTTATAGCTGTTTTGGGATTTACTGTATTGATAATATTCTCTATGAATAGATTATTTCATTTCTTGCCTTATTAGACTGGTTAAGATCTTAAGTAGAAAGTTGAATAAGATGAGAGAGTGACATCCTTGTCTTATTCCTGACCTTCAAAGGAAAACATTTACTCTTTCACTATTAGATATAGGTATTTGGTAAATACTGTGCTTTTTAATCAGGCTAAGGAAGTTCTGTTCAATTTTACTAAGTGACTTTTCTACATCATTTGGCATGATCATTTAAAGGAGAAATAATATCAAGTGTACATAAACATGAAAGAGGGAAGACAAACTCATTTTATATGAGTGGCATTACCCTGCCACCAACACTAGACAAGCCATCATAAGAAAAACTGCTAATGAATATGGTTGTAAGAATCTTCAACAAGCTGGGAGTGGTGGCACATGCCTATAATCGCCAGCACTCTGAAAGCTGAGGCAGATAGATCATTGCGAGTTTGAGACCAACTTGGGTTACAAAGTGAGCTCAAGGCCAGCCTGAACTGAATAGCAAGACCCTGTCTCAAAAGGACAAAAACAAAAATCTTCAACAAAATATTTGCACATGCAGAATGACAGTAAATATATAAAAGGATAATACATCATGAACAAAAGCTGCTTATCATGATATTACAAAAGCAGGTTAGTATTTAAAATCATGTGAATAAATTAAAATAATTTTCTAAATGATATTTAGTTGTTTCAATGAAATTCAAGCTTATGTAGCAGCTATTGTTCCTAGGTGATTTTGTTATTATAATGGACATTCACTCTTTCACATTAATTAAATAACAATTTAAGGGCATCTTTTATAATACTAGTTGTTTGAAAGGAACTAGTTATGCTTTGATGATTGATTTTTTTTTTTTTTTTTTTTTTTACTTTTCAATATAGTGGGAAGACAAATCACTAGCAGTTTTGTAAGTGCCACGCAAAATTTAGATGTGGGGGTGGAAATCTCATAGATCGAATAGTAACAGTTGGCTTTTCTGAAGTGATATAAACAGAAAAGGTATAATTTAGTGTATGATTGTGCACTACATCTAGCAGACTTTGGCATGCTTTAATGTAATTTTTTTTTATTAAATAATGTGCCAGAGAATGGGATATATGTACCTAAGAAGTGGTTAGTTTTAGCTAAAATTATTGTTTTTGTTTCTTTATTCTCTGTGTTCTGTGCACAACAGAGAATAGAAAATGAGTAGACATTTAATTAACTGACTTAGAAATTGGGAAATTAATAAATCTTAATAACAATATCCATCCCCATATGTATTTACTTTTTAAAACTTAACAGGACCATAATGCCTTCTTTTGGTCTTTCTCGTTTTTTTATCGGTACCCGGGATTGAACTCATGACTGCCTGCTTGCAAGGCAGGCGCTTATGCCGTTGAGCTAAATCCCTAGCCCCATAATGCCTTCTTGATCTTGATTTCATTCTGTTACCATCTGATATAGTTGCATGCATTATTACATTTACTGTTCATTTGAACAAGTATTTTTGCTGTTATTGTGCATAGTATTATATGAGTGACCATCACATTTACTGTATACAAATTAGTATTGTTAAATACTACCTTATAATGATGTGTCTCAATAGATGTTATAAGCAATGACTTTGTCTTACTGTTAATCTCTTTAAAATTCTATCATAAAGAAATAAGTAAAAGTCAATCATGCTATAGGTTGAAGTTAGAAAAACCAGTAAAGTGATAGAAAAAAATTATTAAACATGTTAAGTTCACCCTTTCTTATAAGTGCAATTAAAAAGGTAAAGGTAGCTTGCAACTGATAGAAAGTTACAGGTAATTAAATATCAAGAGTTACAATTCATTTTAGTTGTATGGTCTGTTACACGGACAGTTATATGTCTATGACCATGCTTGATTTTCTGTGAGATGTTTTCTTTTATATATATTAAGTATTATTATGTTTTAGAACAAATGCTTTTTAATATGGAAGCCTCCTAGAATTATTCTTTAGGGTGATTTGATTGAGGAGGTAACATTATTTAGCATAATATCCAAAGGAAAAATAAAGACACTTTAGTGTAAGTGTCCTATTTAGTGTAGCTGTTTAAAGTTAGAAAAAGGATGAGAAGTCATCTGCTGGATTATCAATATACAATAATTTTCTAATTAGTGGATAACATCATGGGGGAAAAACATGGTACCCTGTCCTCTAGCTACTGCTTGGTTTCTGTTCATCACTTTGTAAACTTTCCACAAAGAATTGTCCATAGCCAGTGTACTACCGTATCCCATTCTCTTGTGTTTGTTTCTGTCTAATTTACTCCGATCCCCACCATTTCATAATAACTATTTTTATTAGGCTTACTACTGACCTTTTCCAGACACAGTGGTCACTTTTCTATCATATTTTTTGATCTCTCGTAGTATTTGGTGTTGTAAGCTATTCCTTCCTTTTTGAAACATCAATCCCTCCCCTTTTTTTTGGCTTCTCTGATAATCCTGATTTTCCTAATTCTTTGATTGCTTCTCAGATGGTCTTCATTAAGTCATTTTCTTTCTACCCTCTAAGGAGTTCCTCAGGGTTTTATCCTATACTACTAATCGTTTTTTTAAAATTGTGGTGCTGGGGATCGAACCACTATTAATGTTTTCTGTGTGCAATCCCACTCTAGCAGTGTTTTCTGTTATGTAGCTTTAATAACATCAGCCATAACAAAGTTGACATTGTGTTTTTCTAACCTTTGGTTTCACCATATTAGAAACCTATATACCTTTACAACTTCTTTGGTATCTCTTTCAGAAGGCCTCATGGATCCCTTAAACTTAATATGGACACAAATCTGAATTTTTCATCCACCTTCTCCCCCCACCACCACCCCCACTACTGGGAATCAAACCAAGGGCTTTTTCACTGAGCTGATCTCCATGCTACCCCATCTCCTTACATTTTTTGAGACAAGGTCTCACGCAAGTTGCCTAGGCTGGGCTTGGAATTACAATTCCTGTAACTTGGCTTACCAAAGTGCTGGAGTTACAGGTACACTATTCCTAGATAAACCCATTTCTTTTCCAATCTTT